CATCACACTTGTGCTCCAGGCCCTGCTCCAGCTCCGGTGCCCTTCTCTGGCCCCGCTCCAGCACCTCAATGTCTTTCTTGCAGTGAGGGACCCAGAACTGACACAGGATTCGAGGTGCAGCCTCACCAGTGCCCAGCGCAGGGGGACAGTCACTGCCCTGGCCCTGCTGCCACACTGGTGCTGAGCCAGGCCAGGATGCTGGTGGCTTCTCGGCTACCTGGGCACACTGCTGGTGATACTGTGCATAGCATGGGGCTTTTAAAGATTAATACTGTTCTTTCCTGGGGCTGTCTGACATTTAGTTGTGTTTTGTTTGTGTTTTTCTTTTGTTGTTTCATTTCTAGCCATAATCGGATGCGGACTTACGATACCTACGTGGGAATTGGGTGGCTGATTCCTGGTATGGACCAGGGTCTCTTGGGAATGTGTGTAGGAGAGAAGCGCATAATCACAATTCCACCTTTCCTGGCGTATGGAGAAGAAGGAGATGGTAAAAGTTATTACTGTATTTTTGATATAAGTAATTAATATTTTAAAATAAACTTGTACTTTGTGTATTTTCACTTTATGGGCAGCATTATTACCCATTCCAGACAGATGGAACAAAGTGGTGGAGAGGGAGGTTCAAAATGTATTGTAATGTATTATATGCAGGATTGGACTGGTTAGAAAGTACAAGTTTTTTGGGGTTTTTTGGATAAAATTGTAATCTTTATATACTAAAATTTTATTTCATTCAGAGAATTTAATCTACAAGGTGGATTAATTGTCCTATGAGGCTGTGTGCAGCCTGCAGGTCATACACAGGGGTCCCCATGTTAAATGAGGGGACACTTGGGTATAGTTTGGAACTCTTCCTTAAATTCTTTCTCTGCTCTAATATTTAAGGATATGTCTGCAGTGTCCAAGCTTTCATCCCCCTTCCATGACTTCGTTACCATCAACTGTGGTAGCCATCTCCGTGGATAACAAAACTCTGTGGAGTTGGGTTTTGATCTTAATGGTTCTCAGTCAAAACAACCCACACTGTGGTTTGTGTATTGATGGAAAGGTACTTTTTCACTGAGATACTCTCATTTACCCTTGTTCAATGCCATCATGTGGTCTCCTGTTTTGATTTTAACATGATGGGAAGAATAGATGTGCCACATTTGTCTTCTAATGGTTATTTTATGCACTTGCATGGAGTGTGTTGGAAATGCTGGTAGGCTGTACCACGCAGCTCGGATGGAGCTATATTGACTAAAATAGGTGTCATGAAGAGGCTGTTCTTAGCGAGGCAGTACCACCACAGTAGAAACAGAAGGAAATAGTTAACTGAGTTCGAGAACTGAGTGACAAACACACTTAAAATGAGTGACTAGAAGCAGATGATGCTGCTTTATTTTGGGAGGGGAGGTGCTTGATCCTCAGCAGTACGTTACTTCTGCTCTTTCTAACCAATTTTCTGCTCCAACACTTCTGTAGGTAAGGAGATTCCTGGCCAAGCATCCCTTGTCTTTGATGTGGTTTTGCTGGACCTCCATAACCCCAAAGATGGCATTGCTATTGAGAACCAGCATGTGCCTGAGTCTTGCGAGCGGAGGAGCCAGGCAGGGGATTTCCTCCGGTACCATTACAACGGCACACTCTTGGATGGCACATTGTTTGATTCCAGGTGAGCAGACATTCCGGCCCTACAGCTCCCATTTGCAGTTTGTCTGTCCATCAGAGATCCAGTTATTTGCTTTTCCTTCTTTTTTTTTTGTGATTTTTGAGTGGAGTTGGAGTCCTCTTAAAAACTTCATAGAAAACTTTTTGGTATGGGAAGGAAGACAAAGACCTCTGTGTTGTGACAGTATCACAGACGCCATCTAGGGGTGGTGATCCACCTCGTATGCTTCAGGCACACGTGCCTGAAGACTCTTTACCCCATAGGGCTTATTTGCATCACCTATAGGTGATGCTACTGAAGAGAGAGCAGATCAATATGATTCCCATTGTATGTCCTGAGAACTGTGAGTCAACGTGCTAGTGGCTCATTTGAGGTTAACCTCAAGACACTATTTCCATTTGCACTTGAAAACTGGTTGCATTTTGAAGGCTGATGTCTTTCAGTGATGGGGTTTCTGTGATAAAGGAAGAGGGGTTGTCATCGTGTCAAATTCAAAGCTCTGTGGACATGTGAGACTCGTGTGCAGAATTATACAATGAATAATAAATACCCTCGTAGCTTCCTGCCACTTTTGTTTGCTCTTCACTAAGCAGTACTTTACTTTCACGCCAGCTTGCAGAACAGTTGGCACAAGTAGCTGAAGAGAGTTGAGGATGAGCCATGGTAAAATGTTGTACAAAACAAACTCATGTAAGAATGTCCAGCGCTGCTGCAGCTGTGGCCGTTTTCCCCTCTGCAATAGTGAGCTGCAGAACTGCCCCTGGGCAGCTCAGCCAGGGCTGTCTGGACTCAGAGCACCCGAATTACATCAGGGTCTGTCCTGGTCTTGCTCTTCCATGAATTAAAACCTTTCTGCCTTCCCTTCCTTGGGTTGTGCCTTCATGTAGGGTGCCTTGAAGAAGGGCAGAAGACAGGCACATCCTTGTAATAAACCTCATTTGTTGTGGGCTTGTTTCTGTCATTAGGTGTTGAAGCAGATCCTTCAGCCTACGTAGAAGTGATTGGCATAGTTGGAAAGGAAGGATAGTATTGACAGTGTTTAGTTGGTGTGACTCATTTTAATGATGTGCATCCCACCTTCTCCTTGTAGTAGTTGTACTACATAGCTGTGGTTGCAAAATGAGATAGTCTGAAGGGTGTCTCATGAAAATGAACGTAAACTGCATCTAGTTGATAAGCACCTACTAAAGTGGATTCAGGGCAGAGGAAAACTTAAAAGAGAGAACTGGGGTTTTTTTTTTTTCAGTTACTTATCAAAACATGTTTTAATCTAAAATACAGAAATAAGTGAGATTTTCTTTAAGGACAGAGTAGAAATGTGTTTGCAGGTAAGCTGTACCTAACTGTAACCCTAACCAGGGTCCCAGTGCCAGTGAGTGAGTGATGGCTGACTGATGAAACTCGGTGGCCTAGATTCATGGAACATGGTGATTGCATCGTGCCTCTCAGGTGCTAATTAATGACCCAACCAGGTTTAAGGATTGTGTTGCAGACCTCCTGAAAGGTTCTGTGTTTGCTGGAGCACACCTCATGCTGCTAACATGTGTTTTCCACAGCTATTCACGGAACCGCACGTATGACACCTATGTTGGGCAAGGTTATGTCATTGCTGGAATGGATGAAGGTTTGCTTGGCGTGTGCACTGGTGAAAAGAGGAGAATAATCATCCCCCCTCACCTGGGATATGGAGAAGAAGGAAGAGGTGAGTTTTACTTGTCATTTAAGTCTTCTGTAGTGGATGATGTTTCCTTTATTGTGGAGTGCATTTGTGTGTAGTTCCCTTTCTTTTTTTTGGCATTTAAAGACTTAGGAATTAGGTTGTTATTTTGTGGGCATAGAGCTGACAGGATTAGACCCAGGAGTTGCAAAATGAGTTTAATTAACTAATAGGTAGGACGGGAAGAATGCAGAACCACCTCACATGTCATTGGTGACCTGAACTCATTTGGATTATTGGTGTCTTAGACTGGCACTTGGGTGCCAGGAGCTCTGAAGGAATTCGTGTTTTCTTCCTTGTTCTTTCCAAAGACCCAGGTTTTGTGGACTCCTAAACCACCTCTGTAAAGGGTGGATGGATGTAACAGCAAAGTGTGTGCGTGACATACAATTAGCATTCCTTTGGGAACGCCCATTAGTACCTACAAAGATTGCTAGTAGAGAGGTTGCAGGTGGTAACCCTTCACATCGATCACAGACCTAAGGCTGGTGTTTCCAAATGGTACCTCCTGGGATGCTGCTTGGGAAAAGTGACTTAGAAAAAAGGCCTCTCCTCTGGGAATGTAAATTCTATGCTGTTGATTTGGGAATCAGGCTCCTTTACCAACAAACCCCATTCCTGGGTCAGGGTGTGCCTGTTAGTCCTGGTAATGCAGTTGTGCATTGTCCTGGGAAGGGGGAGAAGAAGTTGCTTTGCTGTAGGGACGTTGTAAGGTAATGTCACCTTTTAGACATGATGGCATTCCTTGAAGTATGCGAAATCCTATGGGAATTTCGATGCTCAGTAACAAACAACAAATCACAAATCAGTTATTTAGGATGATCACAGGAAATACCTGGTTATTGCTTCATTTCAGCATATTGTTCAAATTCAGAGTAATGCAGGTTTTTTCCTTCACCCTTGAATTGAGGTTTTAGTGGTTTTCCACTGCTGCTCCTTCGCTGGATGCAGCTTGCATTAGTTGCACACAGAGGAGGCATGATCCTTTAATTCTGAATGAGAAGAGCAAAACAACTTGGGAGCAGGCGCAGTGGGAATTCCTGCGGAATGCAGGACCTGGTCATTGTAAGCCTGTTTGGGTACCATTTCTTTCTCTACTTGCTGAATTTTCTTCCTATTTAGGGAAGATTCCAGGATCTGCAGTGCTGGTCTTTGACATCCACGTGGTTGACTTCCACAACCCCTCAGACTCAGTCAGCATTACTGTGAACTATAAACCTTCCAACTGCACCGTCCTGAGTAAGAAGGGAGATTACTTGAAGTATCACTACAATGCTTCACTCCTGGATGGTACTTTGCTAGACTCAACGTAAGTAGATCCCCTGGTAAGGAGAATATCCCGGGCAGCTGGAGCAGGGCCTGGAGCACAAGTGTGATGAGGAAGGGCTGAGGGACCTGGGGGTTTAGTGTGGAGAAGAGAAGGCTCAGGGGGGACCTGATCGCTCTCTGCAACTGCCTGACAGGAGGATGGAGCCAGGAGGGGGCTGGTCTCTGCTCCCAAGGAACAAGGGATGGGACAAGAGGAACCGGCCTCAAGCTGCCCCAGGGCAGGTTTAGCTGGAGCTGAGGAACAATTCCTTGCCCAGAGGGTGCTCAGGCATTGGAACAGGCTGCCCAGGGCAGGGCTGGAGGCACCGTCCCTGCAAGTGTTCACAGCCCGTGTAGCCGAGGCCTCAGTGCCAGGGGTTAGTGGTGGCCTTGGCAGTGCTGGGAATGGTTGGACTGGATGAGCTTAAAGGCCTTTTCCAGCATCGTCGATGCTGTGATTCCATGATTCTATAGCATAATGAGAGAACTGGGAACAAAGAGGGTGTAGGAGTGTGCTGGAGAAGAACATAGACACTACAGGTGGAGTGATGAAGGAGGTTGTCTGTGTGGCAGTTCAGGTGCCTGGGCCAGTCCTACTGGTGTGACACTGGGCTCAGTGTGAGTGAAGTGCCTGAGTGTGTTCAGTTTCTTGGGCAGGATTTGCTGCTCTCTGTGTGGGTTCAGTGCTCCCAAGAGAGGTCTGGTAGGTCTGTGGTGCAGGGCTTGTTAAAGCTGTCTCGAGTGTGGTGTATAGTAAATGGTCACTCGTCCCATCTGGAGCACACGTGGGTGCTAGTTTTCCTGTATTACAGTGTTGTGGTGCCAGTATGGAGAAACTATCAGAGGGCTTGATTATGATGATGATGATCATTTCCTCCTTGCTCTTGACGGTAGGTTGATGAGGGAAGCAAGAGACTGCTGCTGTCTGTCTAATGTAGAACTGAAGTGAGCCCATGGCACTGGTTGCTGCAGCTACAGGAACACTTTTGCTAGCTTTTTTTCCCCCCTTCATCCTTTGGATAGTGCAAATGATCATTAGTTAGAGTGGAAGATTTATTTTTGGAAGGGAAGTTGGGAAAAGCTATTTTTAAACAGGTTATAATTAATGTAGGAAGCAGCTCACAGTTTTCACAGTGTACACCATAGCTTGCAGAGCTGAAAAGCTGGCTGACATTGAAGCTCTTAATGTGATGCTGTAGGCGAGTATGTATGCAAGGAATGTATTTGGAATCAAAACACCAAATGCTCATTTTGTAGCAGGAAGCAAGGGATGTGGAGACTGTCGTATTCTGAGCAGTTAAGAGATGAACCAAAGATCATGAATCTCGTGCTCCTAATTTTAAGGCTGACCTCCTAGCTACTGAATTGTTTTCTTTCCAAATAATACTCTTGTGCCAGCATATCCTGTGGTGGTGCAGCCAAGCCAATTAACCAAAGAAAGGAGACTGACAGGAGAAAGGGTCAGAGAATCATAATGTCACAGACTGGTTTGTGTTGAAGGGACCTTAAAGCTCATCCAGCTCCAACCCCTGCCACGGGCAGGGACACCTTCCACTAGAGCAGGTTGCTCCAAGCCCCTGTGTCCAACCTGCCCTTGAACACTGCCAGGGATGGGGCAGCCACAGCTTCTCTGGGCACCCTGTGCCAGCGCCTCAGCACCCTCCCAGGGAAGAGCTTCTGCCTCAGAGCTCATCTCAACCTAGGTCCTGCTGTTGTGACACACACCACGTAAAAAGTCTTGACGCTGCACACTCTGCTTTTAGAATCACAAGATATGTTTAACTTGTGGGACTTTAACTCGTGTAATGTCTAATTGTAGAAATAAGCCACCAGCAGCAAGGTAGAATTGGATATATAATATGGTTAAATAGCAGTTGTAGTCTGAGAGACTTCTGTGCTGTGTTGGTTCAGTGACTGCTATGTTGTAGTGACTGATTGTATTACAGTGCTGGCTGATGCATGTGGATGCACCCTGATCCTTATAGGTTGGTAGTTCTGGAACAAATGTACCTCTGGAATTTGGACATCTGCTGAAAAGTCCAACTCGATTAGTTAAAAATATGTGAAAGGCAAAAGCCTGTATTGAGATAAAATACCTTGGGGGTTTAGTTGGCAGCATTAATGATTTTAATTGGATTTCATTCAAGAAGCTTATCATTTTAGTACCACAGGGCTTGTCAGCAGCAGGGACACTTCTGTTTGGTGTTGGCCATAACTTGCTACCTTGGGAGCAACCTCAGGTAACTGCTTGGTAGAATAGAGCATTAATCTTTGGTAATGGCAGGACACTAACTAGAAACTCCTATTTCTGAGGTAATTTGGAAGAACAGAAATCCTCTGCTGTATGTTGAGGGCTTTTATAAGTCTTCTTCTTCTTCCTTTCCCCTCCAGACACAGCCTTGGCAAGACCTACAACATAGTCCTGGGATCTGGGCAGGTGGTGGTGGGGATGGACATGGGCCTGCAAGACATGTGTGTTGGGGAGCGCCGAACAGTCGTTATTCCACCTCATCTTGGGTATGGAGAAGATGGAGTTGGTAAGTGAGTGAATCCTAATGCACATCCACTTAGCATCTCTTGAGCAACTGAAACACAAGCACACAGGGTTTGTTACTTGCTCTGCTTTAGGGCATAAGGTGAGTGCCTTGAATGGGGTTTTTTTTTAGACGTTCTTCATGTCACTATTTGAGGCTGATCCATTTTTAATGACAGGGACAACAATAGTAAAAAGAACAATATGGAAATGACAAGAACTTCTGTATCCCAGGATGTGTGGTTCCTACTGGTCCTCTGACAGGGAGGAGTCAGGCAGGAGATCACCAACAAACTCTCATGTGTATGGAAACAGTTGCATAAGTTGCTGAGTTCTTTGAATAGTTCCAGAAGAGTTTGTGGTTTATAAACACTGCCAGGCATCACACACCAAGCCTAATGGAGAATTAATTCATCATAAGAAATAAGGAAGCGTTTTCACTGGTACCTGTCTTCCATGAAAAAGTAGGAGTATTATAAATATTATTGCCTAAAATTGCATGGTTCTACGTAATAAATTGAAAATCTCCTCATAACATGAGAAGACTGCTGTGTTAAATACCTGTCACAGCTATTTGCCATCACTCAGATACATTTGCTACACGTGGTCTGAAACGCTGCGTGGTTGTTAGTGCCTTGGTGTGTACCCACATACCTGGAGAGATGTGCTTGTTTGCTCCTGGGCACAGGTTAGAGGTGACCTCCTTTTCCTTTATCAATAATAAATCAAACTCCTTTCATGGTTTCAGCATCCCAAGCTGCTGGAACACTCGTGAGTCCGTCAGTTAGCACCTCGATACACAGTGTGTGGGGGAGATAAAGGAAAATGGATTCATTCCTGCAGTTTTAGAAGTAAAGAAGAAAAGATGGGTGCAGTTTTATTCTGAAAGCTTCCTTCATGTTCTGGTCACCTCTGCTGGCGTGAACAGGAAGATTTGGGGGGCTTGGGATCACGGGGTTTGGGGATTGCAGTAGAGAAGCTGCTGTTGAGCAGGAAGAGAAATTGACTTATGGATTAAAAGGAAATTAGACCCTTCAGTGTAAGTGAGGATCATGCCCCTCTTTGCCCTTTGTTGTGACAGAAGGAGAAGTGCCTGGTAGTGCTGTGTTGGTTTTCGACATTGAACTGCTGGAACTGGTGTCTGGCTTGCCGGAAGGGTACATGTTTGTGTGGAATGGGGAAGTCTCTCCCAATCTGTTTGAAGAAATAGACCAGAATCATGATGGAGAGGTTCTTTTGGAGGAGGTAAGCTGAAACAATGAGAACACTTGCAGCAATGTTTTCCTGCCACCATCACCAAGGTGTTTTCTCCTAACACCATCGCAGCAGATGTCAAAGAATGGGGTCTCTTCTCTTCTTCTCTTCTTCTTTGACATGGTGTTTGTTGCCAAGTTAACAGGAAGGCAACATCACACTTAAATTGTGGTTATTTAGCCTTAGAGAGAGAACCAAAAAGAAGCAAGTAAGGTAAGAATGGCTAAGAAAGGAGTTGTATTTTGTATTTTCTTCTTAACTCTTCCTTTTCACCTTTCTCTGTCATTCTGTTTTGTGTCTCTCCTCGCTGGAGTAGTGTTGCCTGCAGCACTCAAGAGGCAGGTTGGGGCCCTATGGAACAACATGAGATGCCTTTGAGCATTTTAACAAGCCAGCGGGGTAAACCCAGCATCTCATTTTCCCTTCCCCTCGCACTCTCTTCCACCTCTCTGTTTTCCTTCCTTCCTTCTCCTCTTCTCTTTCCTGTTAACCTCCACTTCTGCTCTTGCAGAGAAGAAAAGCACTTTCAGCAGCCCAGGGAATGAGTGATGTTGGATGTGACTGTAGCTGGCACATCTTTCTGGTCACCTAGCAAGGAGGAGAGGGAGAAGCTGAGGAGATAGGAGAGATGCTTGGCCTAGAAGGTGTAAGTTAACATCAGGAGTAGCTTTCCTTGCTGAAGCTTATTTAACAAGAGGTGCCAGAGCTCAATGGAATTGAAAACGTTGTGTTTGACTGTGGACTTCTTGTCTTTGGCAAGCCAGCAGCACGGCTTCTGTCAGATGTTGTCTCATCACATTGAATAACTTCATCATACCCATCAGGAGAAGGATTTTTAGGGAAAACTAACCTTGGACCCTTTCGTACCATGGAGGCGAGCCAGAGGCATAATGCCTGCAGAGACTTTAGCAAATCTCATGGTATTCTGGTACTTCAAGTCTCATTTCTGTGTTTCGCTCTTTCCTCCTTGTGTGTGGTTTCTTGTAAGATGCAGGTGGATGTTTCTTTTACAGTGTGAAATTTTCTTGTTAGGGGTCCAGGCCCCACTGGAGTAAGTGAGGAAATCCACAAAGAGCAATTTAACCTCACGTGTCTGTCCGAGTTAGGGTGTTAGCTTTATGTGTGTGTACTTTTACACACACTTAGTACAATGCTAACAGTCTACAACAAGTGAATACTGCTTTTGTAAATACTCATTCGGCTTTAAATACCTGAGCTGTTTTCTCCTCCTTTCTCTCCACTCAGTTTTCAGAGTACATTCAAGCTCAAGTCGATTCGGGCAAAGGAAAACTAGCTCCTGGTTTTGATTTTGAAAAGATTGTGAAAAACATGTTCACCAATCAAGACCGGGATGGAAATGGTAAAGTTACTGCTGAGGAATTCAAGCTGAAGGACCAGGAGGCCAAAGAGGGACACGATGAACTGTAAAGATGCAAAAAGCAGAGTCCTGAGCTGAGCTCCTGTTTGAACGTGCGTACTGGAAGGGGTTTGGGCAGGCATGTTTCTGAAAGGTCAGCACTCCGACAGCCAGCCTGTGTCTGTCTGTCCTCTGTGCTGGCAGGCTGCTACATGGGAAGAGGTTTTGCAGTTGGAATCGTTAGGTCTATCTGAAGGAAGCGTTCAGTGCCTTAAGACAGGATGTGTCCACAGAGAGAGTGTACGGCTGGACGTGAGCCACCGGGGCTGGCTTTGTGCTAAAGATTAGATGTTCTCACTGAACAACACACAGTCACTCGGGTGGATGGATGGGTGGATGGATGGATGAATGGATGGATGGATGGATGGATGGGTGGATGGCAGGGAGAAAACTTACCGAGTGCCTTCAAAAGAATTTTAAGATACCTTCTGTACCTGAAATATTTGGGCAGGAAAATGAACCAGAAAACATTCCCCATGAAAATAACCTGTAAAACGGGCAGCCGCTGAGCCCAGCTCCTTTCAGAAGGCATGAGCTCTCCTTCCAGTACCTGCACAGACTCCCAGGACTATTTGCCATCCGATTGCAGTGCGAATTGCAGAGCATGCAGCTGCTAGCTATGCCATTGCAGAATTCCATAAGCTGTGAATTAAACTAAACAGGCCTAGAATTGTACCCGTGGCTGTGCTGGGTTTCCACCTTACGGAGTAAAAGTCTGCTACCAGCTGCCTTGTATTTCATTACTAACCCTGACTCTGGCTGGCCTGTTCCAACAGTTCCCCTCAGCGATGCCCAAACCTCCCTAGCTGCAACCTTATTTATAGTTTTGTTAGACTTCAAGCATTACTATTCCGGGGTCCAAATACTGTCATGAATACTGGACACGATTGATGTTGTGTTGGGTGTGTGTCTCCTGCATTGGGAATTGTTAGAGTGAGGAGGAAGGATTTGGAGCAGAGCAGTCTGGCACGGCCAGCACCCGAAAAGACAGTCTCAGGATCAAGAAATAGACCCCTCTGTGTCTGCAAAGGTTCTGGCCTATCCCTCCACACCACATCAGCCCTGGGAGTGCTTTGAGACAAGCACCCATTAGGGCTGTAGATGTGACAGGCCGTTGGGTAGGAAATACACAAACCCCCTTAGTATGACCCCCCTCAGTACACTGCATGTAAAGAGCACAAATACACCTCTGGTGAGGCACTGTCGAGGACAAGGAGAAGGGGAGTTGTGTTCCAGTACCTGCTTTGTGTCTAGTCTCTTGCTTTTCTTGCTCTGTATGTGTGGGTTGGGGGCTCCCCCCGAGACCCTCTTTTAAAACCTGGTATTTCAATTGGATGAAAACATTTTGTATTGGGGTTTTCAGTACAGTTGTTATAGAAGGAGCAGTGAAATATTTTGTTTGGAGTTTGATACCATTAAATGTTGGGTTACTGATCTTTTTGTTAAATAAAATGTTGATGAATTATTACTGCTAATGTTTCTTCTTTTTCTTTTTCCTCCCATTTTGGGAGCTTGAGAGGAAGCAGGACCCCTTGGTGCAGCGATCTCCTGCACACTGCAGGCTTATCCTGACTATGGGCAACACTGCTATTAGTCTTCAGGAAAAATGCTTTAAACTAGGATTCTAAGGAACAACGTTTTCATGCCTCAGGTTAGTGAAAGCAACCTCCCTGGGCTTTGTACCTGAGGTTTGGTGCTCTCCCTGGGCAGCCTGTTCCAGTGCCTGAGCACCCTCTGGGCAAGGAATTGTTCCTCAGCTCCAGCTAAACCTGCCCTGGGGCAGCTTGAGGCCGGTTCCTCTTGTCCCATCCCTTGTTCCTTGGGAGCAGAGACCAGCCCCCTCCTGGCTCCATCCTCCTGTCAGGCAGTTGCAGAGAGCGATCAGGTCCCCCCTGAGCCTTCTCTTCTCCACACTAAACCCCCCAGGTCCCTCAGCCCTTCCCCATCACACTTGTGCTCCAGGCCCTGCTCCAGCTCCGGTGCCCTTCTCTGGCCCCACTCCAGCACCTCAGTAACTCCTGAGAACTCTTTTCAGGTCATTAATAGCCACATGAAAAGGGATGGTTTGGGAAGGGGAGACTCCAGCAACCAGCTGCTGCTCCTGTAACACAGCAGCCAGGTTCGAGCCTGGGCACCTGGTTCCCGTTAGCAGCCAGCTGAGGAAAGGGAGCTGCCCTCAGCCAGGGGTGGAGTTTGCTTGTGGGGTTACCAGAGGTTTATTGGGGAAGGAAGATGGGTGTCCAGCCAGAGCAATCCAGGTATTTACATTCTTTCTGTGTGTTTTTCCTGTCCTCACTTGACAGTGATGCTCTCTGCTTTGTAATTCTGATTAGGAGGAAATTTTGTTACAGAGGAAACACTTTTTACTAAGCAAAAGCCTCCAATACTTGACCTTGGACATGTGCTACAGACAGAACAGATACTGTGAGTAGAGTCAGAAAAAGTTGTAAATTCACTTAACTTTGCTGCTTATTCCTTGCTTTAAACGTTAAATGGACTCTCTTGGCTCCAAGAAAATGGTCTGGGAAATGTGTGATACCTTTCTAAGCTGAATCATAAATGAAATATGGTGTTGCAAAATGTTCCTGCTTAGAAACTTGATTCAGAAAGACATCTTGTGAATAATATCTCTTTCCCAAAACTGAACGCAGAATCTGGTCAGCAATTAGAGGAACTGGACTTCCTGCAGGAGGATGGTTCAACCTGTAGCTGCAGTGATGATGATTTTTGTAGTTAATTTTGCTCACGGTTTTGGAAGGCAACTGAATGTATCAAGTCTTATTTCCAGCCAACAGACTTGGAACAAAAAGATGGGATTTTGGAAGAGTGGAGGATATCTGAAAATGCATCCTATGTTTTCCACTGATTACCATATCATCAAGAGTTATGGCTGGCAGTGGGATGATGAAAGGATGCTGTTGAACTGTACAGCACTGTGTAGGTTTTCAAACTGGAATTCCTGGTCCAGGTTGGTTGTTAGTGCCCGTTCTCTCTAGGATGCTGTATGCGTGGCACTTCAAGAAGTAAACTGCTTGGTGTACAGATCCCTTTTGTACAGGACGTGGGCTCTATCAGATGACTGAAACGTGGCTCCTGTGTCCTAGCAAAGGTTCGCTGCTCTGCAGACCCCTGATGCAGAGTCTGACACTGACAGGATTTAATGGCTGAAGGTGAAAACCCTGCAGGAGATCTGAGCTTTCCTTGTGGGAAGGAGAGAATCCTTTCTGTAAGCAGTTGTCGCTGTGGACTGAATGTTTGGAGACTGACCATTCATTGAGCTTCTGCTTGGAGGTGAGACTGTCAAATCTTCCTTACATAATGTGTGAGAGATGGTTGGTTCATCTGAAATCCTCCATCAAGGTAGAGAGTGTGAAGTGTCCCTGTACTCGGGAAACCACCAAGTGATCCCTTCTGATCACTTGGGTTCTAGGCAGGCTGAACACTCATTTCAGTAGCTGGGATTAAGATGTAGTTGGAGATCTGCTTGGGTACCTGCTTCTAGAGATGCTGCTTAATCCTTTTCCATATTGCTCTGCGTGTGCTTTTCTGTATGGTTTGGTTGGTTTGGTTTCT